AACTGATCTCTTTAATTCCTTCCTAGTTTAAGAATAAAAGAACCATCCTTATTTTAAATATGCCAAGTTTTACTATTGTCCATATTTTGTGATGCTCTATGCTCTGCCCATATGTTAATCTAAGATAACTAGCTAACAAGTTGGCAGTCATTTAAATTGGCATTTTGCATTGTAGGTGGAAACCATTGTGATGGTTCCATTTGCTATTTTGGATTTTATTATGAAACCTTTACAATTGAAAGGTGCATACTATAGGCCTATCAACTTGGATTGGTCTTTTATACTTTTTCCAATTACTTTCTGATGATTCCATGATACATTTTTTACTACTACTAAGTCAAAAAAAGCATTGATCTCGATAGACATAGCTATACCATTAGTTCAAGGTGCAGCATAGTTGATTTATCCATTACACAATTTGCATTTCCCTCTTAAAACTTTATTGTGTGGTCATTTTATTTTGAAAGATTGGTTTATTTCCCTCTTAAAGCATTTGAATACATTTATTTCTACGAATTTATTTACGACCTGAAAATATGATTTGAAATGGTTTATCTTATAAACTTCATGGAATTAAATATTCTTTATCTTTTTCCAATGCAATCAAATATGAACTTGATTGAAGATTTATCTCCCAGCCTTTTGTATATTCTCCTTCCCTCAAATTATATGGCACTACATTTCAAGTCTAGCAATTTTATAATGAAATATGCAAAATGGAAGAACTATCATTATAAAAGGTATTTTCGTGAAATGCACTCAGAGAGGGACTGTACATCATTTTACCTTGTGTATTTATCTTGATCATTGGCCAAAAAATATATCTTAGTTTATTGCTTTGGTTAAATTTGTTTTTCTACTTTTTTTGCATGTATGTAACAATGAGATCTTGTATATCTTCCCTGATTTTATCTTACATTACAAATTTTATGGTACTTTTTATAGCTTACCCAATGACATTTTTCAATCATGATGAAACATGAAGTTATGGAGAAGATAAATGAAATGTACTGTGATGCATTTCTAACAGCACATTTTGAGGTTCCTAGAGAAATGTTCTTTTTAGCAATTGAAGCTAAGATGAGGAATGGGCATTGTAGGCTCCATTCAAAGCAAGTGCGACTCCTTCCAATAAATATTAAAAGAAAATTAACAAAAAGTAAAATTTTTTATTTAACGACATTTGTATTTAAAAATACCACTAAATGCTAAATTTAGTAATGTTTGTATCAGAAAACGTCATTAAATTTAGTGACGTTTTTACTATAAACGTCACTATTTTTAGCATTTAACGATATTTTTAAACACAAACGCCGCTAAATTAGTGACATTTTTTTATACAAACGTCACCAAAATAACGGTATTTTTCTTATAAAAATATCACTAAAGTAGCGGCGTCTCAAAGATATAAACGCTGCTAAAATTATTGCGTTTTTTAGATGCAAATGTCGCTAATATACAGTTACATTTTCTAGATATAAACACTGCTAATATAGTGACGTTTTATAAAAAATACTATTATTTTTTGTGAAACGTGTATAGTTGGTACTCTGACTGGCATTTTTTGCAAAACGTTGTAAATCTTTTAGTGGTGTTTATAAACGTCGCTAAACATTAAAAAAAAAAAAAGCCACTAAAAACCTAAACCCTTATAGTTATTCCATCCTAGAAAAAGTGCTAGATACCTTTAATGGTAAAGGAATGATGAGTAATATACTCTTAATAAACCCATAATATAAATATGTTAAAGTGTTAAAGTTACAGGAATACTTTTAATGAATACTTCCTATGTGAGTGTAAAGTATAGCCGCTTCTAAAAGCTCAAGATCTTGATTGTAAAAGCACTTATAAAAAGAGAATGCAAACACATAACAATAAAAGTGTAATTGGATACCAAGTATTCATTGGGTGTTAAAATCATTATGTGAGATAAGTTCAATTAATCAAATGGAATAGCTTATTCAAAGTATAGTCTACCATACAATTTTGATTAACTTTAACTTGTTTTCACTAAATGAATGTTCAAATCAAAAGATATTTTCATTTATGCAATTGATTTCTAATATTATCATAAATCGAGATTATTTTGAAAATAGTTGGAGATTATTAGAGATTTTCAAAATAAAGTATAGAAGTAATCCCATATTGGAAAAGGAAAAGATAAGACAACCATTTAAATTAAGAGTAGAAATCCAAATGTAGTTGGATTTAAATTGCTAAAGCACAAAGATGGACCTTGGATTTGGATTTTCAAGTTTGGTTGGTCTTGCATTAGTTAAATAATTAATATTTATTGATATTTAAAAATGACACTTTGTAGTTGTAGTGCATTAAAAAATTATTATTTTTGTTAAAATTTTAATTGTAATCAAGTGTGGATAATAAACTTTATTCAAAACAGTCAAATTATAAATGGTTTATATTTGTTCAACATAAATAATTAAGTCTATTTAAATAAGACAAATTATGTCTATTCAAAATAGACAATTATTTTTGTAAAATTCAAAAGACAATTTAAATATAAAACTCCTATAGTTTTTTGAAGATATAGAACAAAAACAACTTGCAAAACTCTCTCTCTTTGTTCAAATTATCTTTAGATTTCTTTTATAAAGTTTTGTTGCAAAAATTTTTTTATAAAAGTGAGTGATCTTATAATTCGTAGTTAATTGATTTCATCAGTACAAACACCTTCCTCTTTTGACCCAAATTTAACACTTCTTTTTGAGGAATATCAGCAACTTTATATAGACAAAAACAGATGAAGCAAGGGAAAATATGGAACCTTGCTATAGTTTTCAAGAAATAAAAAGGATAAAACAATTCCTATCACCCAAGGTGATGCTGACTAGAGAATTTTCAGTATAGCTACTAATTAGGTAGCAGTTTCACCAATTTATCATTTTTATTTAAGGATCAATTTATATAATTTATTTTTTTATATTTGTAATCATTATTTTTAATAAATTCAAAAAATTTTATTAAAACTTTTTTTTATGTTTACGTATCACTCTCAATTTTTAAAATATATTAAAATAAAAAATTAAAAAAATAAAACTTAAAAATTTTTATATTATGTAAATTAATCCTTTCTCTTATATATATACCAAAACCAAAAAGAAAAATGACAACAATGGGTCAGATCTGCTACCAATCAGATGGCAGTTTCAAGAATAACTTACTAATTAAAAACCAAGAAAATAAAATAAACTCCTAGAAACTCCATAATAAAAACTCATCAAAACCTTAACCCTTAGGCGAAGGAACTAAAATTTTCAATCTGCCCTTGCACATGAAAATAAAAATAAAATCCTAAGTTGCTAGTTCTAATACCATAAATAGGAAAGCAATGGAGTTTCTTCTTCCATGGTTGTATCACTTCCTCAATTCAAAAACCTAGTTGACCTCATATTGTTTAAACCCTTGGTCGTTAGATTTTTTTTTCTATTTTCTGCACAATGTAGTTTGCTGATTAGGAGGATGAATTCCAATGGGTTGTTAGTCGGTTTCGAGGGAAGAAATTATTGTACAATTCTGAAGAAACATTGGTGAGCAGGCTTTGAGGCAGATCAAGGATGCTGTCAGATTAAGGCTTCATTTGCTTTCAACTGAAGCCCAGTGAGATCCAATTGAAGCATACGATTGCACTAATGAAGTGTTTTGATAACAAAGGCCAATGCATTTCATGCTTTTTGACTGCAATGGAAGCTTAAAAACTGATTGGACCTTAAAGATCCAGTGAAAATATTCCACTCTTATTGCAGCATTCTTTCTTTTTTTACCCATGCTCCTCGTCCTTTTTCCATTTCTACCTTTAGAACCAGTGTAAGGACAAAAATACCCCTATCACTTGTAGCCATTTTGTGTCTTTCTAATTATTTATTTGTTTTTTGATTATTTTAGTTTTCTTTTTATTTAAATATTTTAAATAATATTATTATAATTATTTAATTAATCATTTATATAATTACTTAATAAATTAATAAATAAATAAATACCCAAAAATATTTTTAAAAAATCAATTTTTAATCGTAAAACATTATTATTATTTTTTAATAAATTTATTATTTGTTATTAAAATTAACTTATAAATGTAAAAAATATATTAAAAATTTAATTATATACCCATCATTGATTCTAATCTCACTTATACAATAATTAATCTTATCACTATATAATTAATCTCATTTTTGCTATTATATTCAATCTCACTTAAATTAATTTTACTACTTATTTAAATGAAATTAGCTCAATCAAAGGATATTGCTTTTGATCATGCTAATAAAGAGTTATCTGTCAGATCCCATCTAAGTATAGATAATTTTGTATTGTTTGAAACTATCATTTGGTAGCAGTGTTTTACTGCTTGTTGGATAATGAAATGACTACTTATCAAAAAAAAAAAAACAGAAGTAAAGAGGCATAAAAACCCTTTGGATATCAGTGTCTACATGATACGAGAAAGGTTAATAACATCTCCAACGGAAGAGTCCTTGCCTTTTCGATACTTTAGGCCCCTGCCCTTGTCCTGGTCTCGACTCTCCCTGGCTAAGTACTTTCAATCTAGCAGGCTAGATGGCCTGTTTCGCCCCTAAGTCTTGGACATTTTGGCGTAGATTGGAGCCCCTTCATGAAATCGAAGAGCCAGCCCTCTTCCGTCATATCAAAAATGTCCAGGGAGAACTACGAAAGATGGCCTTCACATACTCGCGTATGGGGATATGTTGAGCAAGTAGATGAAACGAAATCCCACATTTGGGATGTAAGACATCAATTAATTTTAGCTTACAGAAATAATCTGCAAAGAAACCACAAATTCTGGCTGAGCAAAATCCAAGACCAAAAACAAAAAAAATAAGTTTACAATAACCAGAAAATACGACTCAAGAATATATATATATAACAAGTTTTCCCAGAAAGAATCATTTTCCCGCATCACCACAGATTTCTTATTGGAATTATAAATAGTAAGGAATTCAGAAAGTCCAGAGGCAACTGGCTCAGCACAAACACCTTATCACAACAAACATCATCCTACTACCAACCCCAAGAGAAGCAGTAGCAGCCGTAAGTCCGGCCTTTGTGTCATCATGGCCAGTCCCATCACAGTCACAGACTGTAAAAAAGAATTTAAAAAGACGAACCACGAAAAACGTTAATAGGAGAATCAATAGCTAAATTTGGAGCATATATGTTTAAATTCGAGCTTCAAACCTCGATATGTAGCGAAACAGACCAAAAAGAGTAAAGAAATGGTACTGCGCACCGGTGCCTTCGGTTTGCTGGGGCAAACTAAAGTTAAGAATGATGCCATGCTGCAGGGTTTATTCGTATTTGGAGGGAACCGAAACTCATAGAGTAGAGGTGGTGTCCTATATACAGGCCAAGGGCCGAGTAGCCTTCCAAAGCCAGCTCGCTACCATTTGGAAATGAAGGAAAAAGACCCATTCCATTAAAAAAAACATTTCGGGCCATTGGGCTTAACTTTGAGTCCAAAGCCCATGGCTAACTTTTCGAAAGATATCTGATAATGTGTAAAATTATTAGGTTTCACACCTTTTTGTATCTTTTCCTAAAACTAATATTTTAAAAAAATCCACTATCATAGTTAATAATATTTTAAATAAATATGATAATTCATATTATTTTAATTAAATTTGATAATTTATATATTTATATCGTATTTATTTTATATTAAAAAATATAAAATATAAAAATTATCATTTTTTTGTTACATTAAAAAGATAAAACTTTAATATAAGTCAAAAAAAGAGAGTAGATTTGATTCAAAATCAGATCTTTAATATCTCTTCAAGCGTCTTTAACCATTAAACTAAAGACTTGGAGACAAAATTATCATATCAAAGTCATATCAACATGTCAACAAAATATACATTTTTTATCTTTATCAAATCCATATACATTTTTTTATTAAAATTTTAAAACATATCACTTTCACATCTTTTTTCATATCCCATGCCATATTATGTTTAAAATTCACAAATCTAATTTTAATACTTATCATATGTTTAAAATTTTCAAGTCAATTTAATATTTATATCACAAGAATATTTTATGTTACTCTTTCCGTTTCAAAATATTTATCATATATTGACTTTCACGAAGTTTATGAAAGAACATTGACTTTAATGTATTTAATATTAAATTTTAAAATTTTTTTATTAAATTAAAGATTTTTAAATTTTAATGTCAAAAAAATAATATATATAATATATTTTAAAATATAAAAAGTAAAAATTTTAGATGTTCAAAAAAAGAAATAAAGACATAATTTTGAAACATCTTAAAGAAAAAATGAACAAAAAAAAAACGGAATAGAGGGAGTATAATATACATTTAACAATTGAAATGTTTATATTATTAAAAATATAACTATGCATTTTTAATTAATCTAAGAATTGAATTAAAAAAACAAAAATCATATAGAAAATATGAAGAGTAAAAAATTCATCAAGTTATACACAATCTAGACCCTAACCCAAACTCAGCCCAACAAGTGACCTGATTTTTTTTCTTTATGACTTTCCCTTTTGAATTTGAAGAAAATTATCTTTTGTTTTCCACTTTCCTTTTGGTGGAAAGGAAAAGTACGAAGTAAAGAAAAAGTTGTTATCTAATGATTGAACTATATAACATATGCTAGTATTACGTAACTCAAACCATTATATTAAAATATTTTCTTTTCTTACCCATTTCTAAACCTTGTACAAGATGTCCACATCTGGCAGACACTACACTAAACTTTGAACATACATCTTCCCGCATAAATGTTAAGTCAAACTTCAAAAATCTTACGATGTAGTGAACAATCACTTGACTCACGGTCCGCTTTGTAGAATCTACTAAACTGCCCAAGGTTCATGTTCGGGACAATTAGATTACGCAAAAACTTTGTAATCTTCTCCGTAAATAAACATCGGCCCTTTTTACTTGACTGGAAAGGTCTCTTCCAGGTGTGCTTATCGTACTCTGTTATTAGTTTTTCGGTTCGTTCATGTTTGCACTTTAGACAAACTTGGTTCCTTCTGTAATTCAAGAAATCACATCTGCAAAGCACATTTTACTTGCAAATAAATATTATCAATCTTCCAATCAAAAAATGAACATTAGAGGGAGACACAGAGAGACGTATCAAGGGCATTCCCCTTCTCCAGGATTTAACTGTCTCTCGGGCCTTGCCTCTTGGCAACGTAAACACTTCCTATTACTAGCAAAATTCATAAATCCACACCTGCATACACAAAATCAAAATTACAAAGAACAGATCAAACTTCAAAAATTAGCAGACCAGAAAAAAGTTATTCCCCCCCCCCCCCTTACGAAAAAAAAAAAAAAGAACATCAAATCTCTCTAGATCCATGACAAATCCTGTTCCAGTATATATACTAGTAGTGAATCTATGCATGTCAGCAATAAAGTAAGAAAAAGGACTTGATAGCACCTTTTATTTTAGGTTTAAGGAGTAACTTCAATATTTTCAGAGCATATGGACTAGAATGAACATTTTCATAGAGCATGATGACCAGATTTTCCATTAACCCGACAAGTAAATTGGTAATGTGGTTTACAGGGAACCCTTCACCAAAACAACCAAAAGCATGCCATGCAGCAGTCTAACACAACATCCACATGCATCTTTCAATCCAACTGGACATGTATGTTTTCTGAAACTAGCAGCAGAACAAGCAACTTGAGTAACTTGATGGAGCAAATAGATTGACTGGACCAAAAACTTCAAATATTGACAGCTTCAATTTCTTTCTTTCTTTCTTTTCTTTTGGATAATTAGATAGCATCAATTTCAGTAAATCTAATTCAGAATATTAACAAGGATGATCTTTAATATGGGACTGCAAACAGTAAAAATTCTATTTAATAGAATGATACTGAAGAAATGAATATTCTTGAAAATTAGAAGGGCTTCTTAGCAGCATAATTCAGAAAGCAACTCACTCTGGGCAGTTCCAATAATCCAATCTCCTTTCTTCATTTGAACAGCATTCATACGAACCTTCTTTGGACCCTCTGCTTTGCACCTTAAGCACCATACATTTCTAGAAAAGTTCATGAAATTGCACCTGCAACATAAAAAGCAATGAATGGAGTGGCTGGAATCAATAAGCGTTCTGAAAGCTATCAGAAAAATAATTTCCACCCATTTTATTGAACCATAATTTGTAACTCTAAGGCCTGCATGTCCAACGTATTAATTAACCACCTAGGATACAAGAAATTTGATAACTTCATTCCTTCATTTCAACATATGTACATCCACAGACTATTTTTAAGTATATTAAGTAAATTCTCACATTATTATGAAATCTGAACCAACAAAGAGGAAAGTGCATAACAATGTATTATAGTGATAAAGATGAGTTTCTCACCCATTGAACATTGATAAGGATCAACTAGTATCCTTGGGAAGCATTAAATATTAGATGCTGACAGCAAGGAAGACAAATGCAAACTTACTCAGAGCAGATTCAATCTCCATCATTTCAGTTTCAACACCACCAACATTTTTGGGGCCATCTTCTTTGCATTTTAGGCATTGCAGATTTTTAGAAAAGTTCAAAAAGTTACATTTGCAATTAGCAAGCATAACCAGTTTGCAACTATGAAACTGCAGATTTTTAGAAAAGTTCAAAAAGTTAAATCTGCAATTAGCAAGCAAAACTGGTTTATAACTATGAAACTGCATGCAGAGATTTTAGAACAAAAAACGTAGGTGAATAAAGTTATATGGCTAACAAGAAAGCAGAACTTCAAATTAGAACATCTTTCAGTAAGTTATACTTTCATCAGGTCATCCCTTTTCCAACAATGGCACATTGCTCAATGCCCATTGCATTCATGATGCTGTGGTATAGGCATTGTAAACCAGAGAGACTTTAAATGTCATTCATATTTAATATTCCATTTTGGTTGAATTAGGGCTATTAAAGATTTCTTTTCTCTCAAGAACCTAAATTACTATATGTCGTTGCCTCTTCATTCACGTAAAGCAAATGTTTCAAAGTAATCAAATCATGAAGGAAATATCCATTCACTTTCTATTCAACAACATCTAGAGAAATAACCTCGATGGCAAAGAAGCTTCATATAAAACTTACTTGGGACACATCCAGTCTCCTCTCTTCATTTCAACATTTTTAAACTCTTTGTCATCATTGCCACTAGAGGTTTTCTCCTTTAGAGGAGGAGCTCTAGCGCAGGCGTAGGAAGTTCACTCAATTTTGTTGAGTCCGAAAGCAGATTCCTTGCAGATACATCAATATGCTCTCTGCCAGGAGGCTTCTCTCCCCCTGAAATAACAAGGGGATCAAGGGCATAGGATAATAATATAGGCAGAATGTCCATAGTACGAGCAGCTACTTCTGATTCCTTTAGTATCACACAAGCTCCATCACAAGAACCACGCAGATTGCAAGTACTACAAACCTGCAAAAACTGTTTCAGTCAGACCATCACTCAGTTTCTATAGACCTGGGCAGTTGGCAGCAAATGTGCCTTTCCAAACATGAAGTAGGTTTTCCAAGACACAGAAGCTCTTGAAAACCAAATAAATTGACTAACCACAAAATTAACATACGAAGAACATATTTCTTGTGTTGTTGAATAAACTGTTAAAAAATTTCATACTAAATGGAAAGCAACATACATTCCCTTCATCGAGTTGAACACGGGCTTGCAACCTTTTAGCTGAATACAACGCTTTTCGTAAAAGATTAGGACATCCACTCCCCACAACAGTTTCAATATCATTGGTAGACAACAATCTGCATTAAACGGAAACAGTGATGGTCAAATTTGTGACCATGTAAATTATATGTCAATTTATTGCTATAAAACAGAGAGCGTCCACTACCACTTAAACAATCTTCAGAGTTGTACTCTTTTTAAACTTTCCAGCAACTTAAGCACAGTTATACTCTTCCATTTCACTAGATAAGAACTAAGACTACGTTTATTATTCGTTTACTCTTTAATTGAATTAATTTAGAAGAGAAATGGAAGTGGCAGTAGGCTAACGATAGCAAAGTCAAAAAAGAAGAACCCATTACTTGAAAGGATCAAAACGGTCACGACTCATGAGCAAAGCTAAGGCAAGCATCTTTCACAAAATTCATGTCCTTTAATCAGTGACAGCATCGGAAATGGCAGCATTATTAGGTTCAAATAAGCAACCCTTCGACTTTAATCTGTTAACGAAAGTGACCCATTCGGGCCAAGGGAAGTGTAGCGGTGGAAGCGGGAGGAGGAGGGGAAGGGCTTGGAGGGGAGAAGCTGCAGGGTAAAAGAAAGAAATAGGGATTTGCGTGCACGGATGAGGGAGGCGCTGAAGAGTAAGAACCTTCAAGCGGACTTTTTTTTTTTTTTGGCAGCTTATAAGGAAGAGACTTTGAAATATGTCCATTAAAATCAGTTTAGAGAAGCGGGACTCGAAGTTTTGGAGATTGTTAATATGGGGGTAACTTTTCGCTTTTTATCTTTTTTTTTCTAAATATATATATATATATATATTATTTTAGATTTTTTTATTTATTATAAATATATTTATAAATATGCATAAATTTATTCATAATAATATTATTAATAATTCACAAAATAAATATATAATATCTCTAAAAATCAAATAAATAAATTTAAAAGTATAAGAAATAATATAGTTAATTTATTATGATATTTTTAAATATTTAATCTAATCATATAATATTTAAATGAGTATTTTTTAATGTAAATATTAAAATAAAAATAAAAAATAGAAAAAACCTTTAACTTCATGATTATTAAATTTTAAAGAAATAGTATAATTATTTTCTTATAAGAGATTAAAATACTTATAAATTTTTATATAAAAAAATAAACTATAAAAGAAAATAAATTATAACAAAAAAAGAGAAATCTAACTGTCAAAGATTATTTTTTCATTAGTTTTATTTTTATTAAGTTAAAAATATTTAAACAACAAAAGACAAGTTAAAAATTATAAAATATATTTCATATTCACCTACTAATCGAAATAAGTTAATTCATTGAAATTTATTAAAATCAATAAAAATAATCATTATTATTTGATATTAAATTTGATATGAAAATTCAATCTTAGATATACCATATTTTCATATAATTGGAATATATCGATTGATATGATCAATATCAAAACAAAATTAGCAACATTGTTCTATAAAGTTTTAGCTTTAGATAAAGCAATAACTGAAGATAAGGCTTTTACTTTTCTTCTCCTTTTATTATTATTTTTTTGGTGTATTCTTCTCTTTTTATTTGGCGCTGCATTTTACAACCAAACAAATGATAATTTTTTTAAAGATAAATTAAAAAAAATACATGTGATTTAAAAGTGAATTAAAAATGGCTTTTAAATTTTATAATTTGACATTTAATTACTTTAACATTTGATTTATTATTTTTCTTCAAAATTGTTATTTTTTATGTTTCTTATTCAATATTTTTTTTCTTTTTAGTTTTTTTTCATTATTTTGCAATCTTTTATGTTGTTATCACTACCATGATTGTCATGATATATAAGTCTATAAACATATCACTAGACATAATTTAGGAGTCGCTATCAAATTTTTTTTGTTTAAATACTATTAGTCACCTAACTAAATTTGTCTATTTTTAAGAAAATGTCTCAAGTTTGATTCAGGTGTCTTTTAAAAAATGAGATTTTGGTTTATAAAATCAAAACTAGGTTAAAGAGTATAGTTATAGATGAGAAATGTTATAAAACCCTCACAAAACCCATCCAAAAGATAGTATCAGTTGATTTCGTGTTATCCAAGCCTAAAAACATATTTATAATTTTATCGAATAAATTTAATATTGAAAATTAATCTTAAAATTACTCTAATAGTTAGGTAGCAAATTAAAAAAAATCACTTCAGAAGTATTCATGAATAATAGTGTTCCATTCTAAAAAAGCTTCACCATTAGATTTATTAATGTAATTTCTAGAAATTAATTATTCTTAAAATCAACAAAATTTTTCAATAGTTTGGTAAGATTTTATTTCAAGGTACATTCTTTAATAGTTTGATTGGATTTTTATTCAAAAATTTATTTACAAATTTGTTTAAAAGAATCATTAAATTTTCCAATAGTTTAGTAAGATTTAACTTTGAAATTTAAATTCTCCAATAGTTTGGTAGGATTGGAAATTTTATTTTTTTAATAAAAATTATTAAATCTTCTAATAGTTTCATAATATTTAATTTCAAAATTTAAATCATCTAACAATTTAACATGATTAATTTAAAAAATATTTTTAATTAAAATTTTTTATAAATTTTTTCAATAATTTAATAAAATTGATAAATTAAAAATTCACCAAACCCCTCTTTCCACTGAAACATATATGCCTATATTTACTTACTTTTATCTATATCAAACTTTCTTGCTTTCAAGGACTTCATCATAAAAGTAAGGCTATAAACTCATTATTACTTGTCACATTATTCAAAGTTAGCAAGGCAAGTGTTTGCTTTGGTATGCTTTATATTATGAGAAAAGTAAAAATATGAGGTATGCTTTATCTCTTGATTCAATATGTGAAGGCATGATTTACATACTTTTTGCTTAGGTTACATGCATAGACTAGAGATAGATTGATTTCACATGCATGAAAGTGATAGCTACTTATGATTAAGTTTTATGTCTAACTATGTTCGCAACTATCTTAACATTATACTATAGTTTATGATTGATAACTTGTGAAATTTTGATTGTGAGCGTATCTAAGTAATTGTTAGCATTAATAATTTGAAAATTTTGCTTGAGGACAAGTAAAAAGCTAAGTGTAGGGGTGTAATAACCTTATAATTTACAGTTATTTACATATCATTTTAGGGTTAAAATTTTGAAAATTTTCATGAACTTTGCTTAATATGATTTAAATTCGTGATTTTTAAGTTTGCATGAAGAAATTAATTACTTTGAACGTAAATGCTAAAATCAATACAAACCTTGCAAAAGTGACAAGATGGGACCATGCATGCAAATATAAGTGATCCATGCAAAGGAGATAATCATGTTCAGCACAATATGAACTAAGAAGCCTATGGGATCCAAATGATATTTAGCCAAAGCTAAAGTGGAAAACCAGTGATTTTTATAAATTCTAAAAAATCCCACGATTAGTGCTAAATTAAAAAGATACGGTCTTTAAATGCTAATTTGCCAAATTCCCCAGATATGGACTTTAAAAGCAGATTAGCTAAATCCTCAGATATGATCTTTAATTTGGTTGAATCTTCTTCTTGAATTGCAAATCATGTTGATTTGAATAAAGAGCAGAAATAATGGGCTAAATGCAAGAGTCAATTTTAGCTAGACAAGAATCAATCTCATTCATAAATATTTTTAAATCAGTGGAATTCTAAAAGATCACCTTCCATATTCAAAAGTGTCTAAGTTCATCCAAAGCCCTTTGACTAAACCTTGTATTATAAATAAGCCATGCATTTCACTTGTAAATCATCTAGGATTTCACATTCCACTCTTCTCCCTCTTTAAACTTTTTTTTCCTTTTATGATTTCACTTAGTTTTCTTTGTAAATTGGCTAGGGTAACAAACTAGCTTAGATCTTTTATAATTTTTTTTACTTTTGGCTAAGGTGACAAACTAGCCATAGTTTTATTTTCCAAAACTCTTTCTTTAAATACGAGTTAATTTTCACTCAAATCTCTTTTTCTTACTTGGCATGCACAACTTTCTTTTGCATGCTTTTAAGATTCAACTTTGTTTTATTATGCTCTTTTTTACTTTTGGCCAACATTCAAGCTTTCAACTTTCTTTTGTTTTCTAATATAATAGGCTTGCCTTTTAGGCTACCAAGTGATAGTTGGTTACCTTGGCTTTCAGCTTATACATTTATAATTTCCATTCTTTGACTTTTGTTTTTAACTAATTGACCTTTGATATGTCTAAATATAAAGTTAGAAAAAACTTTCTTTGGTACTTGGTTTCACACCTCAACATAATTCTCAAGGGAACGACAAACCTTACTCTTATTACTTGATAATAACCTATGCATTTACAGCTTCATAAAAAAGAGTAATAAAGTTTTTAGTGCCATTGTCAGGGACTATATCAGTATTAGAATACTAGTATCAATAACTTTTCTTTCTACTTTGTAATTTAGACTTTTATTTTTCTATTCTAATGTGTTTTTTCTTTTTCTTCCAATATGTCTAATTTATATTACAGTGAGGCCAAAATTTTTAGGGACTATGGATCACTATTAAAAGGTATGATGAAGACCCCTTTGGAGCCATAACCTTACAATTAGCCTCTTTAACTAAAAATGTAGGCGCTCTTGAAATAATGCATAAGCTTAGACATGTTCAATCAGCTCAGATCATATTTAATAATTGTCATGGTTATAGGGAGCAATACTATAATGATAAGTGTCAAGATAATCAATCTAACCTTTATCCAAATACCTACATTCTAGATAGGGAGGATTACCTTAGTTATGTATAGAAGAGTAGCCAAAAGTAATCATCCATATATACTCTTACCTATCCTATGAACCATTTATCTCTTTAATACTATCCATCACTACAACACTTATCATCATATGACCTACCATCTTTTTCCAAAGAAACAGAACCTTCCCTTGATAAAATTTTTATAGAATTCATCCAAAATCAAGTCATCATCCTCGAGACCTAAATTGCCCATTTGAAAAGTTGTAATAAACATGTAATTCCAAATTGGTAAGGTGAAGTAAAGTGCATATTAAAAGATGATAAAAAAAAGAAAAAGTGGTGTATGTTGCTGATGACAATGATAAAAACTTAATGGATGAACCAGTAATGGTTAACTTGCCAAGTTTTGTAAAAAAGTATGAAGAAAAGTACTTTGAAGATGAAATGGGCAAAAAAGAGCAAGATGATGAGGTGCATATTATCATTAATCTGTCAGCATTTATTAGGGTGGTGGACAAAGAGATAGTGGAAGTGAAAGATTATTTTTAAGTAATAGAAGTAAAACTAGCTCTATTAGACATTCTTGAAAAATCTAGTATTAGTCTTATAGAAGTTGAGCCTAAGCCTTACAGTCTACCCTTACCAATTCCTTAACCTTAT